GTGGAATGCAGGTTGCAGTTTTGCTATCTATATTTGTAAATAACCTTATAGACTCTATCCACCCAGGTCTCCATTCAAAGTTCCATGGTAAGTTGGCGGACTTCCCTGGTTAGCATTTGCTAGCCGATAGCTTTGCGACTGGAGCAAATGATTTACTACAGCGTACATCCGCAACATTTAGCAGGTTTCATCAATGATTGATGTTTTTCTTGATAGTAACACACAATTGTTTGGCGGTTCCATAAACGCAACTTCAGGAAATAAACAGATACAAAAGAAATCAGATAAGGCCGTGATTCTCCCTATGTTTATGTGGTTCACATGATTTGCGCAGTCGCCAGCGTCAATATAATAGACGGATGGCCAAGTTTTTCTGTGAGCTGCTGTAAAAGATGACAAACCAGAGCAAATGTTAAAGACCCCAATGAATTTCGTGCTCTATTGAACTTTTTCATACTCTAACTGAAAACTTAACCGTAACTGAACACAAGACTCGATCCTGGGTGATATCAATATTTACCTTCCCTTCAATAACCCTATTCAAACCGCCAGAAGCACGCTTCGTCTTCTCGCCGCAAGTATGTCGCAGGCCACGCCCACCAGCTGCACCGGACGATTCTGTTGCTACACACCCCCGAGAGCTTTTAGTTCATCGATAACCTAATCATATAGTATGTTGCTTCTGAACTCCACGATTTGCAGTTGCGCAACGTGTTTTCGGAGACAAACCCAGCGATTGCATATTGTGGGTGTTGGCATTCAGTAACGTATAGTTTGGATAAGTCTACGCTGCACGTGTTGCGCGCAGCGCTCCTGGCATTTTGCCTTCATAGGATCCGCAATTTCCAAAAGTTATTAGAGCACAGACCTCGCGCCGTGGGACGTGAGTCGAAGAGTCCTCGAAGGTGGAGATGGGCATGCAAAAAGAACTGGATATGAGGCCATAAAATTGCCGTTAATCATTGTTATTGCTAATGTTGCGGTTGTGTTGCAATAACATTACTAGTTCTATCTTGCAGAAAGTCCAAGAGATAAAGAGTGACCAGCTATATGTAGGGCGCGTTCGAGACAAGTCTGCGAGGAAGTGTTCACAAAAGCAAACCAGGAATATGACGGTGAGCCGGCTCTGAAAAGTTCCTTTTCCCTATTCTATGACGGCTCATAAGACGGGAGGCTTTTACTTAAAAATCATTAGCTATTCGAAGGATTGTCCTCGATTTCGAGAAAGCGTCGATAGCTACAGCCCAGCGCTTATTCCCCGAAATGAAAGTCGAGGGGAGCGCCTTCCAATCAGCGCAAGCTTGGGATAGGTGGCGATCGTTTTGCAGCTAGCTTTACAAGCTACTCCATTTCATTCTTCATTTCAGACACAAGTGAAGGAGCAAAAGAAAAATTTTATCGGGCACGGGAGAATCCCGATTGTGACGAAACGGTGGGACACAATAAAGGGAGTGGTCTTTCTATCTAGGCGCACCTACCGAGAGGTAGCGTTCTGTCAGCGAAGTATTCGTATATTAACAAAACTCAGTGTTACAGGTGCAAGCGTTGTGGAACCTACCGATTCCACCGGGCCTCACCGCTTACGAAGAATGCAAGGGATTTTCAGGATACCTACACACAACGTGGTTCGACGGGCCGTCGTGAAGTTGGGAATCGTAGACATCCGAGCCACTGATACCTCATCAAGCCATAAGTGAGAAAAATCTGACTGAACGAAATCGTTCTATTCCTTGGGGTAATCACCTTTTCTTTCAGTCGCTTGAATGTCCTACTTGGAGTAGACCATCTAGACGTCCGTACAGTAATAGAGAAGCTGAAATACATCGATTCAGAAGCCCAGTGTACGCTGCAGTGGATACGGAAGGTGTGTGTTCATTAGAAGAGAGCAATCCACTGATGCAGCAAGATATTTGTTTCAGAACCCCAATAAAAAACATCTTAAGAAGCGAGGCCGCGAGCGCAGAGAAAATATTGAGGCGTGCATGAAGAGGCGGAACCACTGTTAACTAATGCTAGCCTTAGGAGAGAGTTAATCAAATTTGGAGACATCTATCGCTCGCGAGGAGTTACCACAAGCGAAAGTGAAGATTATTGGGGTTATTATGTCTCGATATGTATCTGGGAAAACTATTTAATGTGATGCATCATAATAAATTCTTACAACTCCTGAACAAAATAAAATAAGTCACCACGTTGTGAAATTTGACACTACTATTCCTACCCCAAGAGCTTCCGAACTCTTAAGCTTCTAAGCCTCTTAAGCTACATTCCGG